AGGAGATTTGGGTTATTTTTATGCCCTGTGAATGAACTGGGTATTAGGAAAGTCAGTTTAAAGCTTTCAGTGATCTAATTCAGTTGTTAAAACTGATTTAATAACTAGATTGTAGAAGACACAACATAAGATTTTTAAGTTTGTCCCAACCTAGGTTTATTTTTTAGGGGGTGTGGGTTTCAGAGACCCAATATCCATCCAGAGGTAGCTCACAGTCCTTGTACAAAAGCAGCCAAATGTTAACAGTACTACGACCGAGGCCGACTGTGTCTTCACTGCCCTAATTACCCTTTCCCTCACTGGTAGAAGAGCTCTTTCCATGCCTGCCAAGTGGCCATGACAAATGATGATGTGAATTGGAGCTTTAACCTGGGGTCAGGGGTCAGGGGTCAGTGGGTCGGGATCCCATCACTTCGTATGCAGAGGCCATGTGTAGCTGTTTATCTTCTTTGTTCTGGAGAACGATTTCTCTGTTGGCCACTAACTTTTCAGGGGTGTCCATGCATCCAAAACAGTTAAAAACACTGCCTTACATAGTTGCTTATTCATACAGCTTTTGATATTTGGGCATTTCCTTTTGTTAACCTTTTTATGTATTTATTTTAGATTAAAAATTATAAGAAAGTATATTCATAATCTTAGTCATCACTCACATTTTACATAACGGTGAACATCTGACTATCTACACATATGCACGCACACTATGCAGTTTTTTCTTTTTCTTTTTTTTTTTTGGTACCAGAGATCGCACTCGGGTCCTTGTGCTTGTGAGACTATGTAATTTTTTTAAAAAATAAATTTTATTTTATCCCATCCCCCCTTCAAGCCCCCTCCCTTCCCTATGTACAAAAACTTTGTTTCCATTTTTTCCTTCTATTTTCACTTTTTTTCTTGTCCCTTCCTTCCTTTCTCCCTCTCTCCTCCCTTGTTCCCTTTCCCATCTAAATGTTTTCTTCCCATTTCCCAGTATCTATTACACATTTTAGTCCTTATTTCCACTTTTGGTTTCTCACACCACAGAAACAATGCGGTATTTAAACATGTGTGTCTCATTTATTTCACTTAAGAGTATGGTCTCAAGGTGCATCCATTTAGCTATAAATGTCTGAAGCTCTTCCTTCTTTATGGCAGAGTAGTACTCCATTGTATAAAAAAAACCCCACATCTTTATCCACTCATCAATTGACAGGCATTTTGGCTATTTCCAAGATTTATATGCAGGCTTTTTTCTTTTGGATCGAACTCAGGACCTTGCGCTGGCGAGGCAGGCAGTGGAACCACTGAGCTAACTAAGTCCTTGGCCCTATATGCAGTTTTTTAAAAGGAATCATTCTATGTGAATTCTTTCCTCTTTGTTGAATGTTAATCAACATTTAAAAAAAAAATTACCAGAGTATCCCATGGCATGGATATACTGTAACTTATTTATTCACCTACTGATGGACATAGAGATTTGTATTTTAACAGGAGCCAAACCTTAGACACTAAGAATATAGCAAAAGAGATGAGACACTAAGAGATAGCAAAAGCCTGTGGCCTTTGCTGGTCCCAGGAGCCCTCTTCATTTGCTTTGCCTTACCAAGCTGTACATCAGAGGTTAGGCTCCAGGCTGTTCAGAGAACATGTCTGCAAACAAAACACAGTAGTACTGTACTCTCATACTGATACCATGTGTACTGGGCTCTTGGTTCTGCAAACGTCAAGGAATGAAGTTACAAACCAAAGGAAGAAGTTAGGAGGGCTGAGGATTTAGCTGGGTGATGCCTCGCTGCCTTGCAGGCACAAGGTCCTGAGTTCAATCCTTGGTACTGAAAAAAGAAGGAGAGTTTTATTGGAGATAAGGAGAAGGAGAACTGCTCCTGGATTTCTAGGAGGGGTCCCTAATGGGGTGGCTGCATGGCCCTTTGACTTAGAACATTTTAATTACAGGTAAACAGAGCACAAGAATTGCTCAGTTGTTCAGTGGTCACCTTGTTTAGTGGTCACAGGTGGCTCTGTGGATTTAAAATAAACAGTTGGGATCCAGGCTTTTAACCCAGTTCTTTGACTTGTAGGGTTTAACAGGAAACTGGGATCTCTGAAGGAACTGGTGAGTTTGGATTATAATTTCCTTGGAATTCAGGAACTTACTAGGGAGTAGTTGTACCTTGCATCCCATGGTGCTTGAGGAAGTTCACTCTTTGTCCAGAGACCTGGTTCTTTCACTAGTCTTAATTTTTATCTGTGTGGCTGGTCACCCCACTCTATCTCAGGCCCACTAGCTTGTTCCCTTACTCATACGCTAAATAAACTATTTTCTACAATACTAGTCTCTCTAGAAACCTCAAATAAAACATAATTTGCAGGTCCTTTGAAATCAATAAAATAATAGTTTTACACTTGATCTTAGCCAAAAGGCTGAGAAGCAATAATAAAATAATAGCTTTATTGGATCCATCCACTTCAAAGCAGCTTCATTTAAAACCATTCTCAATTTTCAGTGTTCCAATGGGCTTAATTTTGTATGGTTTACCTTACATTTAAAAAAAGTGATTATGAAATTTTTTTGTGAGAAAAAAAGTCTAATTTTGTAATTGTTAAAACACTTCAATCATGCAGCTAGGGAAAGTCTTTACCATTAAAATTTATGTAATTTCCCTCAGTTTGTGTATGTGTGTGGTCTGTATTTTCCTATGATACATTGATGAAGGAGGTGTTGCTGATTGCCTTTTCTTCCTTTCCTCTCTTATCTGCTTACAAGACCGGACCAGATTGGAGGCTGCACCCATCAACACCCTTGGGTCTGGGGTAGTCACCCTTCCCATCTGGCTATGTCTGATTAATAGTGTTTATGTCATGGCATAAATCACATTTTGTTGTTCACTCAGCTGAGACTCAGGCCATTAAAAAATTTACTCTGCAAAAAAAATCAATAACCAGTGGATTTTTTTAAAGGAACAGTTCTTTAACATTTATTTTCCAAGTCTATCTGTAAAGATAAACAGTCTAATTACTATACTCACTAAAATTGTGCAGACAACAAGAAATACAACCCCACAGATAAGGGGTGACCTTAGCTAAGGACAGGTAGGAAGCCATCTTGAGGCAGACAAGAGGCAACCAAAGAAACCCGATACCCTTTTAAAGACTGTCACTTTTCCCCACAGAACCAGCCAACAATAAAACCTCAGAAAGCATAAGCTGAATTTTCAGAAAAGAATGGAAAATAAATTGGATTGATAATAGCATGCTGTGACTGACTCAGTGCCACTCAGAACTCTCTATGGACTATAGCTACAACACAGAAAATCAATTTTACTTATTTATTTGCCTCAAGTTTGCCTAATGCCTTATTGTCAGTAGCATTGTGCACAAAATCTAAATAAATTTATTCAGTTAGCCAAGGAAATAAAATTTCTTGTGAAGGGCTGGGGATTTAGCTCAGTGGCCCCACGCCTGCCTTCCAAGTGTGAGGTCCTGAGTTTGATCCCTGGTACCAGAAAAAAAAAATTCTATTGCCAGGGAAATTTCTTGTGAAATAAATAGGAAGTGTGTCTGGGGGAGGAGCCTAGAACTAAAGATACGTGTTTCATGCCTTACTTTGTGGGAAATAATATGTGAACTTTTGAAATGATGGTATTGGCCATGTGTTAGCTACATATATGCTTGCATAGATGGAGGGGTGGCCAGTAGTAGTACTGATTCATTTGTAGTTTATTTTACCTATGTTGGGTGAGTGCTTTGGAACGTTGCTCACACAGCCTGCTTGTGTTGCCTTGGCTCTGCTTTTGTGAGCCCCTCAGTGTTTTTGCTTCCAATCAGAGCATGCCTCACTGATTTCTGCCTGCAGCCTGCTTCTTAGGAATCCGTAGCTGCAACTTACATTTCAGGAATTCAAGCTACACCAGTTTCACATCTTCACTCTGAGCCTTAGCAAAAAGGAATGGGAAGGTAAATATTACCCTTTGATCCTTTATAACTGCTCACAGCCCAGATATTCAGCATCTTGGTTTCCTTAGCAAGCCAGCCCATGGCTCTTTAAATAGGTACAACCCAGTAAAGAGGGAAGGAATAAGGTCTTGTGCCTTTTTCTTCAAAGGAAGATGTAACTCTTTCATGCAAGATCCGATCTGATCCTGCAGACCTACTCTGGCTGGATCAGGGAGGAATAACCTTCAGGCAAAGTGCTCCCATAACAGCACTGTTTCTCATTTCACTGTATGATGAGTGGGAGCTGAGACCCTTTTCCTGTCACTGCCTGCATCATTCTCATTTATATTATTGGCAGCTGTTCGGTTGCTGGAAGTTTAAGTTATCTCAAGAACTCTAAACTGAGTTCCGATGTTTGTTTATTGGCACTGCCTTGTGCTTCTGAAAACAGTCTTTTGTGCTTCACCCAGTCTTGAGAAAAGGCTCTTCTCAGAATCAGCCCTACCCCCTTCCTTGGTTTTTTCTGGGAACCTGCCTCAGCCTCAGGAAGAAAACTGAATAAAGAGGACACGGGACTGCGACTGGTGAGAAGGGATGCTAGCGGAAAGGAGCTGGGACCCGACATCCTGCATTTGTGCTGTGTTTTGAAACTTGGAGTTAGTTCTGTTAATGAATTAACCAGCAGTCTAGGCAGAGAAAATGTTTCTCCTGTCCTGGTGGGGGAGCCAAACACTCTAGATTGGTAACAGGAAGGTTGTTGATTCTGGCTTTATTGTTGGGCCAGTCATTTGTGAGCTGGTGGCCGACCACAGGCCACACACTTCTGTGCAAATCTTCATGTACTGGAACTGCCTGAATATTGTTTCTACTGCCGGAGACTTGGCCGAGAAAAGATGGTGAGCCCTGGGTTTCATTTTATTTTTGTTTGGTATATCCCCCAGTCTCTGAGGGTGATGCAGGGTGCCAGTTTGGAGGTGCCCAGCGGCTGGGGTGTGTGTGTGTTTGTGTGTGTGTGTGTGTGTGTGTGTGTGAATCTATGAGCACATGTGAGCATTCTGCTTTTGATGCTCTTTCTGTCTCACCCTCTGTAGAGCTCCGGGAACGCATCTTATCGCTGCTCCATGTCTTCCTCTGTGGATTTTTCTGACGAAGATGATTTCAGCCAGAAATCAGGCTCAGCATCACCAGCTCCCGGAGACACCTTACCCTGGAATTTGCCTAAACATGAGCGATCCAAAAGAAAGATTCAAGGGGGCTCCGTGCTGGACCCTGCCGAGAGGGCGGTGCTCAGGATAGCAGGTAAGCTTGGGTGGGGAAGGGGATGGAGTGGGGCCAGTTTCAGAAATCCCCCTGTCTGTTCCCGGGGGCATATCTGGGAGCCATACCCTAGGCAAGATTTGCCCTCCAGGTTGGGGAGGAAGATGACCATGTTTACTTTTGCCTCCTTTTACCGCTAGAGCAATTTCCTTGCCTGCTGGTGACTAAGCTGTTTGGCTATGCTTTCTCATTGGATAAATCAATATATTTGAAATTCGAGGAAATATATAGAGGCACCTACTTACATGCCTCAGCCACTGGAGAATACTAACCCAGTGATTCCTCCAGTGTTTTCTGGAAGCCCTGAGAAAACAGCCTTCATTTTCATTTTTGTCCAGGGGCACTGAGCTACGCAGATCCAACTTGAGTAAATACATGGTTTTTGGTACACAGGATTGCACTGCATAGTTCAGCAGCTTGGATGTCTTTTTAAAAAAAAAATGTACCATCTCCATTGGCATCATGTGTCCCTAGCAGCTTTCTATCCCTGGGGCTTTTGAGGGTTTACCATCATGCATTCCTGCTTAATTAATACATGGGAGGGGCCAGTACTTCAGTTCTGTTAACCGGTGTCCCCTTGCATTGGCTATAAAAGCCTAACCAGAAGCGATGGCTTGTTTTACCCAGCTGAAAGATGAGAGCACTGTGGAAATCAACCCTTTAACCCTGCAGTGCCAGTGTGGTTTATTTCTGTATGTTCTGCGCAAGAGAGAGCCCTTTCAGGGATGGTCGTTGCTCCACTTCTTCAACAGTTTTGTTTCCCTCCTAGAAATGGTACAGGGCAGGACGGAGTAGGCCCTTATAGATTCTCTTGCAAAGGGCTAGAGATCAGTGGTTTTTTAGTTTCTTTCTGGAGCCAGAGGTTTGAGCCTCCTCTCCTCTCCTCTCCTGTCCCTACTCTTCCTTTGAAGGGCTCCTCAGTTTCTTTTGTTTCCCACAATAATGTAAACTTAGGGCTTTCTCTTCCTCCAAGGGGCCTGGAGGGCACCAGCCTAGATTACAGCCACCCAGGGCCCTGAGAACCCCCCTAGAGTCCCCCTAGTGGGATTTTCTGGTTTACCGGAAAACAAACAGCCCAGCCAGTCCTTCTCTAGTCTGGGTTTCTGGGGCAACAGCATGGAGCTTCTTCTGGCTTCTGTTGTGAGATGTTGGCCAGCCTCTCCCCGCCTTTGAAGAGAAGGGGTGGAGCAGGAAAGAGGATGAGGAGGAGGGGTGTGGAGCCTGCTTGGGAGCCCAGAGAGAGTGACCAGATGTGGCCTTGGCCTGGCTCCCACCCCTCCTGCCTTCCTGGGTACCAAAAGTGTCAAGTCACTCTGTCGCGCATCCTTGCCTGTTGGAAGGGAGAGGTGGTTTGGCTCAGGGGGAAGAAAATGTAGTTCAAGGGAGTGTGTGGGAGCTGGGGCCTGCGGCAAGGTGGGCTTCAAAGAAGGATGCCTGTTCTATGCATTCTTCAGTGGAAAGTGAATGTTCCTGTGGGTGTTTGTCAGGTGGATGTGATTATAAAAATTGGGAAAGAAACCACCTGGCATATGTCAGGAGAAGTTGGTAGTAACCGTCAGTGTACACTGTAGTTGGGGAAGGAAGGGAAGACCTAGAGGTTCTAACAGGCTGCAGTGTACATGTAGGTGCCGATGAGGTGTAGTGCAGTGCACACATAGTTAGAGACTGTCGACTCCCAGAGGGCAGAGGCCATGTGAAAATGTCTGCTGAGTTTGTGGGAATATCTGTGAAGTGGCCGAGACCTCAGAAGTGTCTACATCATCATCATCATTTGTGCTCCTGGGGATTGAACCCAGGGCCTTCATGCTGGGCTACATCCTCAGCCCTTTTTTATTTTTTTATTTTTATTTTTTTGGTACCGGGGATCAAACACGGGGCCTTGTGCTTACAAGGCTGGCAGCAGAACCACTGAGCTAAATCCCTGGCCCTAGCCCTTTTATTTTTTGAGACAGGATGTTGCTAGTGGTTAAGTTGCCCAGGTTGGGCTTGAATTTATGATCTTCCTGCCTCTTCCTTTCTGCTGGGATCCCAGACATGAGCATCACACCTACTTTTAAACTGACACTAGGTCTTCAAAAATAGAACAAAACAAAATGAACAACAGTGTGGAAGCATATTGCTTTAAATTGATGTTGGTAAAGTGGGTGTTTGTTACACAGTTGTAAAAAATAATCATACATGGAGGATGACTTGGGAGCCGGGCCACAGACACCTATATAATTCATAAGGTGGCTAAATTATGAGACCCAGATATGTTATGAATTAACTTGGGCACTGATCACCGAGTGTGATGATAAAGTATATTTTATCTAAGGGAATTTGGTGCTATGGATAATCTGAAAACACATCACTAATAATTCCACTTCTAATCCCATATGTTTTCATGCCCTCCTTGAAACTTATTGTCTCTTTGAAATTTATCCTGTGGAAGACCTGAAGTGACATTCAGAAATGGGTGTGATAGTATTCATTACTTAACTAATAAAAAAGGAGGAGTTTTAATGTTTTTATTAGTTTTTTAAGGCCATAAAGGTAGAATTGATTGTGAAAAGTGTCTACTGAGTGTGGAAAGGGCCATATGGCCTGTGGGGTACCTTAATTCACCCATATTTAACAAATACATAGCTTCTGCAATAAAATAAAGATAGCACAAAGTTCTGCCTTTAAAAAGTCAAGTAGTTTACAATGATAAAGGAATGTGTTTTCAGACAGTTACAGCTTGGTTTGAGAGATAAGTTGTAATGGCTGTAAGCATCTGCCTAATAAAGGAACTCAGGAAAGAGTCTGATTAACTTGGAGGGAGAAGGGAGGCTTGGGAGGTCCCCGAAAGTTTCTGAGGGGAAGTGCCGCTTTAGATTTACAGAATATGAAGAAATAAGGGAAGCAGAACACCCGATTCTTCAGAGGGTTCAACTCCATGGACAGAGTAGGGAGATGCAGAAACTGTAGGAGCCTAAGTGCAGTCAGTCCTGAGGCATGACTTCTGAAAGAGCAAGACCCTGGGTCTTGGCTTGTAAGGCAAGCTCTCTGTCCCTGATTAACCCAGCCCTACCTTAGATTTTTAGATAGAGCTTATACATTTATTGTAGTCTGATCATATTAAAATCTGAGGGGTTTTTTTTGGTGGTTTTTTTTTGGTACTGGTGATCAAACTCAGGACCTTGCACTTGTGAGGCAGGGGGTGGAACCACTGAGCTAAATCCCCAGCCCTAAAATCTGAGATTATAATATATTTACTTCCTATCTCTCAGGGCCAATGTGAGAATATGGTGACAAGCTGTAAGGAAAGATGCTTTGTAACACCCATTATATAAATGCCTTTTTAATATGAGTAATACTGATCTGTTCTTCTTACCTTCAGGATATTTTGTTAGGTTTTTTATTTTTCAAGTACCTTGTAAAAGTACATGGCTTGTTAGTGATAATGCTATTTTAAAATCAGAATTTTTGAATTTAGAATTGAATGACCAAAGCAGAGTCAGACTTTATACTTAGGCAATCTTGGATTTTAATTTCTCTTCTGCCACTAACTAGTTGTGTTTATTTGAACGATTACAGAACTTTTCTCAACCCCAGTTTATCAAAGGTCTTCATTGTGATAAGTAAGATAGTGAGTGTAAAATGTTTTGCAAACGTTTTGGCACGTGGAAAATGCTCTCTGTAAATCTTAGCTTACTGATGGTCAGCTGCTCTTTTGAACACTTGTGTTTTCTCATTTAGCCTGTCAAGAATGCTATAAAGGGGCCGGGGATTTTAGCTCAGTGGTACTGCACTGCCTTGCAATTGCAAGGTTATGAGTTCAATCCCCAGTCCCCCCCCCCCCGAAAAAGAATGTTATAAAGTAGGAACTGTGGTTTACAAGTTTTTTCAGTTCAGAACTCTGTAGAGAGAGCAGAAGAAACACCCAAAGGCCATAGGGCTAGAATCTGAATTCAGGCAGTCTTGACTCCAGAGACCAAGCTCTTTCCTCCTATGCTTTTGCTGTTTCCCAGTGGAACACACCATTATTATTAGCATATCGACCCAATATTTCTATTCCAAGAATGCTTGGGGCAAAAGCTGTTTTATACGCCGCTTCTGTTCATTTGATTGGCTCTTTAAATGGACAGTAAAAATCAGTAAATGTACATCACTATATTTGTCTCTCATGAAAACTCAGACTTATGCTTTCAAAATGACCATACTTGTTGGGAGGAAGATGGTTTAGTGAGAACTGTCTTCTTTGTGGTCTGTGAGTAGAGTAATTCTTGGCGATCTAATTGCTAACCCTTTCATCTCAAGAAGGTTCCATAGAAACCTGTTTTTTTGTCACGAACCAGTGTGCACACGAATGTCTGCTGAGTTGCATTAATATGCACACTACAGTGATTTTAGAGGTTTACTGGGAGGAGGGATCAAACATGATAAACCAGTGGTCAGGAGAGAAAAGATGTATTCTTGTTTTATCTTGAGAAATAAAAGTAGGCCAGATGGAGTTAAGTGCTATAAATGAAATAAATATTTTTCAAAAGCATACAGTTTTTTCAGGAGTAACATCCTCATCTAAGAATTAAGGGAACATGGTCCAGATTTCACAACAACCAATAGCAAAATAGAAGGAAAAAAAATCACGAAGAACAAAGTGTAGGTCCCTGTGAAAGTAGGGAAGGGAGATTTGGACAAAAGGTGAAGTTGACATGGATCAGGATGGCCAACAACGAGCTGATTTACTCTAATAATTAATAATAATATAGTAATAATAATAGTAGTAGTTAAATGGTACCTAGTGCATGCTAAACCCCACACAATTTCATGCATTAGACACTATTATCATCAGCGTTGTATCCATGAAGACGACTCTGGGGGAATAAGAAACTTGCCCTTGTCACTAGAAACTCGCTAGGGTCGCATCCAGGCAGCCCGACCTCAGGTTACTCTTAATAAACACAGCTATTTCCATGGCCCGTGCCACTAGTTTCCCCCAGCACTTCGGTAAACACGTC